GCTAGTAGCAATTCTGAACATTAATGTTTTTCCTAACCCACGTTCTTTCCTTCAGTGATAAATCTGACAGAATGCCTGTGAACGTATAAATGCCCTTTTTGGAAAAGGTGATCTTATATATCATGGTGGGACCCTGGTTATTAGAAATGGTGATTGATTGATAGGATGTCTAGTGTTGTGTTGTGTAGTGCGAATATTAGACTAGGACTCGAGAGACTGGGTTCAACTCACCACTTGGCTATGGGACCTCACTTGGAATGGAGGGTAGCAATGGTAAACCACTCCTTGAACATCTCACGCACCTTGAAAACCCTGTTGGGGTTGTCAAAAGTTGGAAGCAGATTGACAACACGTAACACAGACAATACAAAAGACTGAGAACCGTTCTCTGAACAATAGATGATGAAAAGCTGAGCTAACCAGTAGGGTCTGCCGGTTGGCTCAATGGGTAGATCATCTGGTGCTGTGTCCTGGGGAGAAGATTGCTGGGAGCTCTCAAGTCACATGCTTTTGACAACAGCCTCATACATAGTTGAAGTGGTGGGTGACAGAATTAGGGCTCGATATACCCGACGGCTGTCTCTGCTTATGGGTTTTTTGGCAGATGGCTGGAAATTTTACCTCTAGCATTACATACCCCCCATTGGAGAGAGCGCCTCTTTTTAAGAAAATAATGGAAGCCCGTGACATTCACTAAAGAGGCTTAGCTGCCTTTGCGGCACTGACGGATGAGCTCTGGCAAGATGGCATAACAGCGAGACCCTTGCAGGGAGGCAGCAATGCATTGTCATTGGGAAATGAATGAATGACTTTTCCATTCCCCATTGATTCCACAGGGGCACGTGTCGCATGGTAATGACTTGCATTAAAAAGGATGGTGGGAGCTCAATTGATTGTCACTGGGTGGCACCCTGTGGCGAGATGATATTTATAACTCGTTGGTGTACTCGGCGTTTTAGCATGTAGAGGATGTGGGGGGAAGGCGCTTAAAAAACACTTTTGTACAATCCTTGTCTTTTTTTTTCCTCCCTCACAAAATATATACACAAAGTAATACAAAAACACGCGCTCATACACAAATTACAGACGGCTTCGTTCATTGCCAATGTACATAATGCAACATAAAATACCAACATAACATAACATAATATACCAGCACAACATTTCTGTTTTAATGATTGTATCCCAGATCTTTTTTAAAATTCTCAATACATATCTAGATGTTTCTAACTGTTTTTGTATTGTCCATTCATTCATATAAAAGCCAAAATAAATAAATATATGCCATGGGTGGGCAACTTGTGATGCTGTTTGACTGCAGCTCTTATGATGTCTCACTTATGGCTATGCTGGCTAAGGTTGGTAGGAACTATTTTTCAAAAACAACTGGGATGCTGTGGCTATTTTGAGGTAATTAAAAAGTTTTCTATGCTGTCCCTCCAGATTCAGGGGATCCTTAGGAAACCCCTTCATCCTGGGGAAGACTTCGAGGGCCTCAGGATGCAGGGTGCGCTCTCCAGTGTCCCAAAAACGACCAACGCCAGTCCCAGTCTGGGGCTGGCAGCATGGATTTTTGGGGCATTGAGGACTTCCTTCCCCCATTCTGTGGGTCCCAATTCTTGAAGGGGATCTGTAGCGATCATCAGAACCTAGGGGCAGGAATGGGAAACTTTTACAATTCCACCAGAACAGCCAAGCCTGATGACGTTATCACAGTTGTGCAGTATAAAGTTGTGCAACAGGATTCTGGCAAGTATGGATTATATATCAAATTAGTTATATTTATTTTAAAAATTAATTCTTTCACATTTCCTCCAAATCTGTATTCCACATGCTAAGTCACAAAATCAAAAATTCCCTGGTGTCTTGTTTATTTATATTTCTGAGTCTGTATGACAAAGCTCAATGAATTAGGCATCTGACTGCAGAGGCTGGGAATTCAGTTTCCCAGCATGAATCCCAGAAGAGGCAGTCTGTGAGGCCTTGGGCAAGCAGCACAATCCCAGGGTGCCCCAAGAAGAAGGGAATGGCAAATCATATCCGAGTACTTTCTACCTAGAAAAAGCAAAGCATAGTTTGCTGCTTATTTACTGCCCCATAGCACTTAAAAGCACTTTCTGGACAGTTGACAATTTAATTATGCAAGCTACACGTATCCCCCACAGTGAGTTGGGTACTCAGTTTACCAGCCTCAGAAGGATGGAAGGCTGAGTCAGCCTTGAGACGGCAATCTGAGCCCATCAGGATCAAACTCAAGTTGTGAGCATTGTGAGCAGAGTCTTGGCTGCAGTACTGCAGTTTAACCACTGCATAGTGAGACTGTTACAAACCCTGAGGATGGTCACCATAAGTCAGAAGTGACTTGATGCCATACTACTACTACTACTACTGCTGCTGCTGCTGCTGCTGCTGCTGCTGCTGCTGCTATTACTACTACTACTACTACTATTGTGATATTTAAAGAAGGCTTATACAATTTTAGGGACGTGGTGGCGCTGCGGGCTAAACCGCAGAAGCGTGTGCTGCAGGGTCAGAAGACCAAGCAGTCGTAAGATCGAATCCCCGCGACGGAGTGACCTCCCGTTGCTTGTCCCAGCTCCTGCCAACCTAGCGGTTCGAAAGCATGCAACTGCAAGTAGATACATAGGGACCACCTCGGTGGGAAGGTAACAGCGTTCTGTGTCTAAGTTGCACTGGCCATGTGACCATAGAAGATTGTCTTCGGACAAAACGCTGGCTCTATGGCTTGGAAACGGGGATGAGCACTGCCCCCTAGAGTTGAATATGACTGGACAAAAATTGTCAAGGGGAACCTTTACCTTTACCTATATAATTTAATTCATTTAGATGCTTTTGTTACCGTTTTCTGTACTGTACTATGCATTACCCTATGGCAAGGTACCATCTCTTAATAAATACATGCAAGAGGTCCCAAATTCAATCCTGAACATCTTCAATTTAGACTGGGATTGAACCTAGAGAGTCAGTTACAGGGTTGATAATACTGTGCTGTTCAGACAGATAGTACAACTGAAGCCCTATTCAACCATTGAATAGAAAGACTAACTTTTGCCTCCATAATAACGCCATCCCCTCCATGTGTGAGGAATTAAATCGGAAGCGAAGATCAGTCTCTTGTTTGACAGTGCTGATTTTCTTTAGGTTTTCTGGCTGCGTGGAGAGCTCCCACAGGTTGGTGCTGCTCTTCTCCTCAGATATAGCTCTCCACATGCAAAAGCTAAAATGGAGGGAAGTGAATCTAACCCACTCCCTCTATTAACAGGTCAACATTCACCCTTTGCTTGAACTCCTGACTAGGTCTACAGTACAATGCAACCTATGTGATGCTTTGTGAAGAAAAGCATCCTTTCCAGACAAAATAATCATGACTATTATTTTTTGTGACACCGTTACAGTATACAGTGGAGTACGAAGTACTGCAAGCAAAAGAGAATTCATTCCTCCAAAGAACTAAAAATGAAAACTTTTATTCATAGGAAAGATAATGGGGTGGGGGGCAGCAAGAAGAGAGAATAATAAGGGCTGAAGATACCTGATGCATTTACATCATCTTAGGCTTTGTGTCCATTAGTTTCTGGATGTCAGACAAAGCTGATTCTTGGCCTGAGTAGTCATTCCATAAAAATGAAAGCTGATATGATGAGGGTGAGAGTAGGGTGTTGGGGAAAAATGCAGACAATTTAATCCAAATTCTCCACAAATTGAGCCCAGATTATTTATGCAAAGAAAGCCACAAATTCTATGCTCAGAAATAAATTTTTCAACTTGGTGCAGAGTGTGCAAATACGCTTAATTTGGATTTATGTATGCATAAGCCTCATATTTGGGTTGTTCTGGCATTAGAAAAGTTTATAGAAATCCTTTTAGAATCATGAGGAGTAGAAACAGTGAATTGATCATTGCGGCATTGTTTATATCAACCACTTAAGTTATGCATTTGTAAATCCTTCATTCCTCTCATTTACAGATTTAGGGTGTGGGCGGCAATGTATTCATATCCTTTTAACCCTGGAAAATGGGATATGCTGAGTGATGGTCATGAGGCTACCTAGTGAATTAATGTTGCAGCTGAGAAAGAGGCTTGATCTCAGATATCTAAATACTACATACCAGTTTATGTGGAGTTTGTTTGGACACAGAGATTTGCAGAAGATAAGTGGTTCTTTGGGGACATGGCTGCTTTTTGACACAGTGATAATAAATTCAGGCAAACTTCAAGATGGAAAGAAATGCAGGCATGAAATGATGGCATGAAATGAAAAATGTGAGAGTCATAGGAGGACTGGTGTCATGCAGCTGTTCTGAGAGGCAGCAAAAGGGAAGAAATGGAGTCACTCAAAGGAGGAGATCTTTGAATGCTGAGGGTGGTGGAAGTATTGGATGAACACAGGTCAGAGGTGTGCACGTGTCAGTATACAAGAGCAGAGAGGGGTGAGAAGGAGAAAAGGGTTACCTCAGAGAGATGCTAATGGATCCACAAAAGGACTGGGAAGCAGTGTAGAGATTCCAGGATTCAAGACAATGAGAAAATTAATTATTTTGGTAGCAGAATTCTGCATAGAGGTGAGGCAGGGCATCCAGGTAAGAGAGAAGCGTGTTGCTACGTGTAGTCAAGGTAAGACAAGACCGGCAGGGTCTGGAACAGAGTTCTGACAAAATTGACAGAGATACTGTGTTTAGTTCCTACAATATCCTACGAAGGGAGAAGCAAAGTGACCGATTGAAAGTTCTAGCAGCAGAGGGAAGAGAAAGAGGGGTGTAACAAAATAAGGTGACACATGAACACGAAGTAGCACAACAAACACCGTTAATGAAGTTTTAACACTTGTATGTTGGTCACTGAATCCTTTGCAAAAAAAAGAAAGAAAAAGAAAAAAGACAATATGATACTATGGTCATCGGCGTCCTGCCAGTAGTCCTGTTGCTGTGCTCGGGCAACAACCGTCTCACTTCTTCTCCCATTCTTCTTCCTGCCACAGGTCTGATTATCCACGAGGGCTCCTCGGTGTATCGAATATTCAAACGTTGGCAGGCGGTGAACCAGCAGTGGAAGGTGCTGAATTATGACAAAGCCAAGGACCTGGGGGAGCCGGTTGGTGGGAGTACAAAGCCCGGAGGGCGGAATTCACGGACGAACCCCTCCTCGGGGAGTGAGAGGGCCTCCCAGCGAGGCCAGCGGGTTAGGACTATTTTGAACCATCACTGTGGGTATACGATTCTGCACATTCTCAGCCACCTGCGGCCTAATGAACATCGTGGGGGCTCCAGTTCCAGCCGCGAGGTGGTCATGAGGGTGACGACTGTATAATAACAGCCTCGGGAGCCTTTGCCATGAGGGAGAGGCTCCGTGGTTCCCATGGAAGGAAGAAGCCGGCGCCTTCACTTCAGCACAGGCTCCATTTCGAGCCCCTACGGGATAGGCCACACACTGTATACTGCCCGACGCAGGAGGCACCTGGATCTGACCACAAGTTCTGCCCGCCTCTTTGTTGTTGTGCGTGGGGAGTACCTCAACTTGGTTGCACCTTCCTGCCCTCCCATCAATGTGAATTCCCCCCCCCTTTCCATCCTGGCCTGTGGTAAAAGGAGTGACCCTCCTCCCTCCTCACAGCTTCTCTGGTTATGACTAAACTCTTTGGAAGTGTGGTGGGAGGTTATTTATTTCTTTTTCTAAAACAGCCCCTGCCGAGTTCCTTCTGGGTGAGTCTTGGCCCCAGCAGACCCAGAAATTTGGAAACATTTTTACCTCATCTTTCAAAAGGAAGACCACTTCCCATGCCTTCCCACCCCATCCCACTGATCTCTCTGCCCAGGAGATGCCTACCAGAGAGGTTCTGAACTTTCACCCATCCCAAACAAATGGTGCAATAAACATGTTTCTTAAAGCAAAATGGCATTTTGCAATATGATACCTGTACATTTCATCTTTTAATTCAATGAATGAAAATCTGTTGCTCTTCTTCTTTCCCTTCCATAATTTTTTCTTTCACACCGCACAGGGAAGGGCAAACCATTGTTTAAATAGAGATAAGTGTCTTCCGGGTGCCTTGTCCAATTCCCTTTGAAAAATGCTGTTTCCATGAGATGTAATATGATATCAAGAGAGTCTGTAGAACTCAGGGGTTCCAGGAGCGCTCGTGTAACTCTTACGTTAAATTTTAAAGCCTCTTCTCTGAAGAAGCAGTCTAAGGCTATAGTTTTGTGCCCACTTACTTTGGAGTCAGCTCAGTTCAACTCAGAGGGGCTTACTTATGAGTACACATGAAGAAGACTCGATTGAAAAGCCTTTCTTATATCAGGTTTTAACTCTAGTCATTGTTTCAGCCGCATAGATCATTTGAGCCTATGCTTGTTAACTTAGAAGTACGCCCTTTTAAATTCAGTGGTTATACTTTAAGGTAGTGTGTGCAAAATTACAGCCTCAGCTGTCATAGGCATCTGTCATGTTTTTTTCAGTTCTGCTGCAGAACTTCAGATAAATGGCTCCTTTCAACTACAACTCCACTGCAGTCAGAAAGTGACACTTATAAGCAATCCCCTCCAATATTGCAGCCTGTAAAGCACTTGTCAATATTTTGGGATGTTCAGCTCTGCCTATGGAACTATACTGAGGAGTCCATTTTGCAAGTGTGGGATCTAGTGATGAATTTGGTGTTGCCAAATCTCTGCCTTTACTCTTTTTTTTTTAAAAAAAAGGTGCTCTTAATCCATGTCATGTTCAAGAGGATTTTTGCTATTTTATTAATGTGAAAACCAAACAGAGCGTTGGAGAGGCCTGCCATTCTTAGGAGGAATGGAACCTTTGTGTGTTCCTCCTACTGGGGCCTTTGCTATTCCTCTCACCCACATACTCCCAAAGTCCTTGTCTTTTGTTGCATCTGTTCACCTTCCCTTGAGATAGCCCACACGTCTATCCCGACGTTGTGTCCCCAGATGTTCTTCAGCTGCAACTCACAAAAATCCTGGCTAGCAGAGCTAGTGTTGAAGGCTTCTGGGAGTTGTAGTCCAAGAGTACCTGGGTTACACAAGATTGGGAACCAATACTCTACATCTAATAAAACTTCTTGGAATAGCACCACTTCATAATGTAGATGGAAAGCTGCATGACTGAATAAACTCTTCCATGGGTGAAAGGGAAAAAAATTAAGTTATTAGAGAGGCAATATTCTAGCCAGACCTTTTCTCTGAAATTCTAGAGTTTTTAAATATTTGAGGATTTTTTAAAAAACATGCAAGAATTTTTACATGTTGCAATCCTGAATTCTGGTACTGAGGTGTTCCGAGAGGCCTCTATTATACATATGTGTGGTTTTCTAAATCTTCCTGTTTCTTTGAAGATATGAAGCTTAGAAGCAGTTCTACAAAGTATGTACATACCCCTGTGTATAATTTGCAGAATTGATTCTGAATGTGCAATTAGAGTAGCGATTGGCACACAATGTACATATTTGAAATCCAAATTATACATGCAGTCCTGTCTGAATGTTCAGATGGCTCTTTCTCCACTGGGATCCAGATTCTACAATCAAAATGTATTTTATGCAAATTAGGCATATCATACAAATACTTTTGTGACATGATGAGGATAGCATAATTCAGAATATGGAGTTTAAAAATTATTTATGAATAAAAGGGGGGTTGTGGGATCTCAGTGAAATAGAAATGCCAAGGCAATGGAAGAATGGAACATGATGTGGGCCCTGTATTAAAAATATGTTCTCAAGACCACATCTGAAAAACCATTTTTGTTTTTTAAAAAACCCAGCTACCAATGGCCCAAAATTTGCATTTTTGCAGTGTGGCAATGGGTAGACACATTGATGGGACATGATTCCTAGGATTATCTCTGTGTTTTTAAATGCCTTCTCTAGTCACTTTTAAAATGCAAAATAGGTTAAGGTTGCATATGTCTTAGAATATGTTAGAAAGTATGGTCAGTGGGGACCACTAATGTCACATCCCTGACCAGCCAATAGTCACTGACTGATTTCCTCAATAAGTCTGACTCTGTGAGATCTTGTGGAATTCGACTCCTTTTTATAGTAACAAACTGTTGTTCCCTGAACAACTGGTTATATCTAGCCCCAGGCAGTGATTTCCAGAGAATGAATTTAGTATAAATTCTGAACGAGTAAGAGGAAACATGTTTGAGGAGTGGCGAATCAGACAGTGACACAAAGCAACAAGGAGTTTCGCTGGATTTTTTTTTTTTAAGTGGGTTAGAGCAATACCTGTGAGGGAAAAGGTTTAGACTCACTAAATCCTCCTGAGATGTAGGGTGAAGAAAATGTTTCTTTATGAGGCACTTCTTTAATGAGCTATTTCTATGCCTGGAGAAAGTTTCCAGTTCTGCACTCTACCTTGGGGGACCTTGCGGCACTCACACATTTGAAAACAAAGTCTGTGAAGGGGAATATGCATAATAGGTGAATAAATAAAAGGTTATCTAAAAGACTCACCACCACCACCACCAAGCCGCCAGAGCTGTGGGGCAGCCTCAGATCATGGCAATCTTGTAGACTGACCAGATTGAGCAAGGTCTGCCCTGGGGGCCTGCTCTGGGCCACCCTCTAAATGGTGCTCAAGTCCAATGAGTGCCAGGCGACTGGATGCAGGAGCTTCTGTTTTATTTTCTCCACCCAGCTTCCAAGCACATGATGTAGTATCACTAAGGTCATGGTGCAACCTTAAAGTGTCAGCTCCATCAAAGCATTACCATTGCATCCTGCCAACACTGTCTCAGTTCCTGGGTTCCCAAAGTTTTCCATTTTTCTCAGGGTGGCTACTGACAGCCATGCCTGGACTGACTCTTGTAAGAACTGATCAGAGATGAGTCAAGATTGGCTGTCCATCTTTAATGCCACCAACTTCTAGCCTACTGATCATGGTTGAATTACAAAATCCTATCACCGTTGGTCACTGACTAAGCTGGATGGGAGTCAGTCGTAACAATATCTGGAGGGTTGTAGGGTCTCCATCCTACATTCAGGCTACTGAAATTCTAAGATCCTCATGCCACAGTGGTTAAACTGCAATCCTGCAGCCCAAACTCTTTACAAGGTTGGTAAATTGAGTACTCAGATTGGGGGTGGGGGTTGGGGAGTGTGAAGCCTGCATAATTAAATTGTAAGCCGTCCAGAGTGCTGTGGGGTAGTATATAAGCAGCACACTTTGCTTGAAGTTCCTACTGTTCAGATAGGCTTCTGTTTAGAAGCTGTTGTTAGGGCTGGCCTTGCTGTTGGGCAGAGTGAGGCAAATGTCTTAGGCAACAGATGCTGGGTTGGGGACCAGCGGTTGCTGCCTTCCAGCTGTTCCTTCAGCTCAGCTATTCCTCTCTGTTGGGACATGCCTCATGTCCTTCTCAGATAGAGAGGAGGACACAATCCCATTGTGTATTTCAAAGTAAGATTCAATTGCCCTCTAGTCAACTTTTGGATGTAGACTGAAAGGGAGCACAATTTTTGTTCGCTGCAGGCAGCCAGACGTCTTGGCTTAGTTCTTATTCCTCTTGAGATAATACATGCATTGCTAACAGCTCTCTGCTCAGTGGACAGCTACTAGACACTGTCATAAATACAGCTTTGAGGGTCTCCTATCCTGCCTATGAATGTACTTTTGTTATCTTAGCGTATCCACACAGAGCCAATGAGAAATGATGATGGTACCACTGTGCCTAGCCTTTGGCTTCCACAGCTTCGGACTAAGCTGATACGTGACCTTTCTTTTCTTTTGACAATGGAAATGCATTTTATGATTCTGAACGAATAAGAGCTTGACATGGGTGACCATACTTACCTAACCCCTTTGAAACCTGTTTGGCACTCCTGTTAAAGAGCACATAAATGTGGATGCCCTGCAGCTCCACTATGGATGCACAATGAGACCTTTGAGTCTGTTCAGCTTAAGCACCATGAGCACAGCAGAGATGGGGAAGAAAGGATACAAGGACTGGAAACAATCCTGTTCAGATGCCCTTTGCCCCTTAAGAAACATCCGCTAATAAGTGCAAACAGCTCAGGAGGACCGTGGAGCACTTAGAAAGGCTTGGCAGGGAGGAAGGGGAAGCAGCAGAGACCTGTCAGAGCTCTCAATCAGTTCAGAGTAAATGGTCAATATTCCCACTAGGGACTCTCTACGGGCAGAATGAGTTAGAAAATGCTGAGACAGTATTTGCAGCTAAGGAAGGATGGAGAGGAATGAAGTACTGTAAGCTGACTTTTCCGTTTCCACACCATCTACCTGATATGGGCCTGAGCTGTTGGGTGTGGGTCTGGAGGAGTGAGCAGGGGGGTGGGGACATTATAAAAGGACTTCATTTCTAAGGGCCCGCCATTCATGCACAGCTGAAAATCTTTTAGAAGTGGCATTAGGACCCCAGAAGTATCTTGCTGGATTGGACCCAAGGCCTCTCTGGTCTAGCACTCTGTTGCCACAGTGGCCAACCAGATGTCTCTGGGAAACCCACCAGTAAGACATTTATCTAGAGCCCCCCTCGCATTCCTTAGCAACTGATGTGTAGAGGCAGTCATCCCCCAATGCTGGAGGTGATCTACCGCTATGATGCCTCACAGCTATTAATAACCTTATCATCTGAATTTGTCTAATTCCCTTTAGAAAAGCAACCCAGCTTGTGCCATCACTATGTCTCACAGGAATGCATGCCACAGTTTTAGCTCTGCTATGTGAAGAAGGACCTCCTTTTACCTGTCTTGAAGTTCCCCCCGTTCATCTTGAGTTTTACAATGACCTGGCTCCGTATGTGAGTTTGCATGTTTTGTAAGTGGCCGGTTGTGTTGTGAATGGTGCAAGATCTCCCTGAGAGGTTCTTCCCCGTCTTAGAGCACTGACTTTTTTTTTGAGCCTTTATGATCATCAACATCCAAAACAAGCAATATTTTAGCACCCGAAAATCTTAGAACATTTGCAATGAAATTCTTCTTCATTGCTGTGAACGTTGTGGTCA